GACGGCCCGCGAGGGATCTAAGACAGACCAAACTGTCCCCAAGGCGGCCCCATATATTTTCAAGACTGGGCTCCTCTGGGCACCTCCCCCGGGGCCGGTTTTGTGAGGATGTCTCAAGCGAGGGCGCCGGTTTGGGATTCGTCGGCGGATCCACCGGATCCACCGGATCTGTCCGGAAACGGTGCCGGAGGCCGCTCTGGGCTCCTCTGGGCACCTCCCCCGGGGCCGGTTTTGTGAGGATGTCTCAAGCGAGGGCGCCGGTTTGGGATTCGTCGGCGGATCCACCGGATCTGTCCGGAAACGGTGCCGGAGGCCGCTCTGGGCTCCTCTGGGCACCTCCCCCGGGGCCGGTTTTGTGAGGATGTCTCAAGCGAGGGCGCCGGTTTGGGATTCGTCGGCGGATCCACCGGATCCACACCGGATCTGTCCGGAAACGGTGCCGGAGGCCGCTCTGGGCTCCTCTGGGCACCTCCCCGGGGCCGGTTGTCTGTGAGGATGTCTCAAGCGAGGGCGCCGGTTTGGGATTCGTCGGCGGATCCACCGGATCCACGGATCTGTCCGGAAACGGTGCCGGAGGCCGCTCTGGGCTCCTCTGGGCACCTCCCCCGGGGCCGGTTTTGTGAGGATGTCTCAAGCGAGGGCGCCGGTTTGGGATTCGTCACCGGATCCACCGGATCTGTCCGGAAACGGTGCCGGAGGCCGCTCTGGGCTCCTCTGGGCACCTCCCCCGGGGCCGGTTTTGTGAGGATGTCTCAAGCGAGGGCGCCGGTTTGGGATTCGTCGGCGGATCCACCGGGATCTGTCCGGAAACGGTGCCGGAGGCCGCTCTGGGCTCCTCTGGGCACCTCCCCCGGGGCCGGTTTTGTGAGGATGTCTCAAGCGAGGGCGCCGGTTTGGGATTCGTCGGCGGATCCACCGGATCCAGCGGATCTGTCCGGAAACGGTGCCGGAGGCCGCTCTGGGCTCCTCTGGGCACCTCCCCCGGGGCCGGTTTTGTGAGGATGTCTCAAGCGAGGGCGCCGGTTTGGATTGATCCACCGGATCCACCGGATCTGTCCGGAAACGGTGCCGGAGGCCGCTCTGGGGCTCTGGGTGCACCCCGGGGCCTGTTTTGTGAGGATGTCTCAAGCGAGGGCGCCGGTTTGGGATCGGCGATCCACCGGATCCAGCGGATCTGTCCGGAAACGGTGCCGGAGGCCGCTCTGGGCTCCTCTGGGCACCTCCCCCGGGGCCGGTTTTGTGAGGATGTCTCAAGCGAGGGCGCCGGTTTGGGATTCGTCACCGGATCCACCGGATCTGTCCGGAAACGGTGCCGGAGGCCGCTCTGGGCTCCTCTGGGCACCTCCCCCGGGGCCGGTTTTGTGAGGATGTCTCAAGCGAGGGCGCCGGTTTGGGATTCGTCGGCGGATCCACCGGATCCACCGGATCTGTCCGGAAACGGTGCCGGAGGCCGCTCTGGGCTCCTCTGGGCACCTCCCCCGGGGCCGGTTTTGTGAGGATGTCTCAAGCGAGGGCGCCGGTTTGGGATTCGTCGGCGGATCCACCGGATCCAGGGATCTGTCCGGAAACGGTGCCGGAGGCCGCTCTGGGCTCCTCTGGGCACCTCCCCCGGGGCCGGTTTTGTGAGGATGTCTCAAGCGAGGGCGCCGGTTTGGGATTCGTCGGCGGATCCACCGGATCCACCGGATCCACCGGATCTGTCCGGAAACGGTGCCGGAGGCCGCTCTGGGCCCCTGTGCTCCCCGCGCCGGGGGTGAGGATGACGGTAGTTCCACAGAAACTCCCTCAAAACAGATACTCCCTCAAATTAATGCTCAGTGTTTCTTTCTCTCTCTCTCTCTCTATATATATATATATATATAGATACATATACATATACATATACATATATATATATATGTCACACTCTCTTTCTCTTTTGTCTCTGTGCTGGTACACTGTTTAATTTCTTTGTTTTCTCAAATCGCTCTGATTCCTACTCTCTAACTTACAGTCTGATCGCTACTCTCTGATATCATCCTGGCCGTGGTCACAAGTACACTACTTGTCCGCAACAAGAAACTCGAGGATCCGGGAATCTTGAAATGCTGGGTGCCCCGGAACCGGGCACCCATCGGGAACCTCGAGAACCAAGAACCCGGCCGCCCACCAACATCGGCACGGCTTTTTCGCCCGATCCTGGAAACGGGGACCCAAGAACCAGGCCGCCCATGGAAATCGGCCCGGTACTTTCGCCAATTCCTTCGAAGCGGAGATCCCCATTAGTGTGATCGTTTTCCAAACTTAATTGATCGCGTCTCGGGGTGGTGTGGTAGGGGTGGGCCGTGTAAGATAGCAGTGCAGGTCTTATTCCTCCTCCTGCCCTGCCTGTCTTTCGTGTCCGCTCAAGCTTTTTCTGGCTCGAGGTCTCTCGAGCCAGGAGCTCGCGCTCGCCTCTCGCCCCACCAACTGGGGCGCTCACGGCGCGGGCGCTGATCGTCAGCACCACGGCGGGGCGGTGGTGGTTCGCCAACGCTGCCTCGCTCTCGTACATCGGGGACTGGGGGGTCCTCGACGCGCCCCTCTCGAGGCCGCTGGTGGAGCCCGAGGACGACGCGTCCCAGAGGGACACGAGAGAGTCGGAGCGGCTGAGCCTCCACGACTATCGGCGGGTTCGCATGTGTAGCGTTATGCGATGGAGCCGCTTCTATCGGACGATGGCCCCGTGACGGGGGCAAGTGCGGATGTACCCGAAGAAGAAGAAGAAGAAGAACGACACGAGTGGGATCTACGTGAAGCTGGACCACGCCCTCTTGGTGGGCGGCATCAAGGATCGGGCGAAGCGGTCGAGTCGTCGGCGGCCGGGCTGGGACTACGTATCCTTCCCTGCCCCCGCGGCCAGCGAGAGGACGGGCGTCCTGGAGAAGGCCTGGGAGAGGCCGTTCGAGGCCGAGCTGTATCTGTCCAACGCTCACGGCTATGGAGCCTCCTTGTCCTGGTTTCGCTCTGGGCTAGCTGGCGCGTGGAGCACATGGAGCTGTGGGTCGACGGTGGGTTTCGCCATCTTCTCCGGGGGGGTGGCCGTCTCTGGCAACCTGTGGCGGTGGATGCGATGGGTGATGGAGGAGCTCGAGGATGGCCACCACTCGCTCCTCGTAGCCGACTACGTCCGAGGCGACTGGCGCGACCTCTACCTAGGCGGCAGGCTCGAGACTTCCATCATGATCTTCACCGCGTCTGTGGCCCTCGGGCCAAGTCTCTGGAGTTGCTGCCAGCAGATGTCATCGCCACGGCTAGCGGGGGAAACGCCTCCAGGGATCGCCATGGACAGCGACGGGGAGGCGGGCCCCTCCAGGGCGGGTTCGTCGGACGAGTCGATGCCAGCCAAGGGCATGCAGGAGATGCCAGCCACGGGGAGCAGCCTGTTCGACCAGATCGTCCATCCACGGTCGGGGTCGCGTCGTGCCCGCACGAGTCAGAGCACCTCGTCGGCAACGTCCCCTGGAGAGAGCAGTCACGCCAGCGGGAAATGATGATCCCGTGGCGCGGCCGAGCCCCGCCTGGACCGGCATGTAGGCGGGATGATCGACTGGTGGAAGCGTTTCGAGGACACGAGCAAGGCGGACAAGGCCTCGCAGGGATGCCAGCCCGCACAGGCCGCGTCGCCCACGGCGGCCACGTCGGGTGCTACGACGTGTCCTTCCATCGACCTGGGAACAGCGGAGACGCTGGTGGGCGCGGGGGGAAGCCCCGAGCCGTTGATGAAGGTATGCTGGGGCCCCAGGGAGCAGGCGTTGGTCGACCTCGGGAAGATCGATGCGCTGTCCACCGTCATCCGCCTTGCGGGCCCCACCTCCCCCGTGGCGCAAGAGCTGCGGGTCAAGACCTACGGGACGGACGTCAGCTTGGGCAAGTTCGCGACGGACTGGGTTCGCCCCAGTTAGGCGGGTCGCGACTACCTCGGCCACCAGATGAGGCTGCACTGCATGAAGCTGGATCGGAGGTCGGAGGCCTCGCCCGAGATCACCCAGACGGCGAGGTACGAGAACCTGCGCGCCCGAGTCTACGCGCTGATGCGGGTGTTCGAGGACGTGGCAGGCATCATCGACGGGAAGCAGCCTCGGGACAGCGGGGCCGACAAGTGGACGTCCAGGGTGTGCTGGGACCCCACGGACGAGCTGGACTGGAGGTCTCTCACGGAGGGCGAGGAGGCGCTCACGATAATGGAGCGCTACTTGACGGCCAGGCTGCAGCAGAGGGTTCTTCAACATACGTATCCGCAGATGGAGGGCTCGGACGCGGCAACGGGAGAGGACGAGAAGACGGGGGGATGGTCTCCCCCGTCCGTGGAGCCCTGCGGGGCCCCCCGCACTTGAGGGAGAGGCTGGCGGTTTACCGTTCCGTCCGCTCTGACGGCGGCCACTCTTGTGGGCTCACTCTCCCGATAGCTGTGGTGGTGCTCTTGCTGGTCGCGACGATATTTTCGCGTGACACCGCATCCCTCGGGAGGCGACGACATGCCCGTTTTTCTCCATCCACACGTTTCTCCATCGTCTACCTCGGCAGCAACCGCGGGCGTTCCTCCCGAGGCCGTTCCTCGAGACCGAGACCCTCTGCCGGGCTGGCCGCTGCTGCCGTGGTCGGTGGTGGCGGACCGCGCGGGGCCGATACATCAAGGCGCACTACGACGTGTGTGAGCTCGAGCCGACGGGCTGCTCCGATCCATGCCTCACCCACTTCGGGGCGGGGCCGGAGCGGCCGAGGGCGCTGGGCCGTCGGCCACGTGGGAGCGGGCGACACCGCTCCAGAGGGCTACTTCGAGGAGGCTCCTGGAGGCGTGGCTAGCTTGGGGCAGCCAGGTGGCCGCGATCAAGGTGGACGAGGACGCTGCCCTTTGGCGCGTCACGGCCGATCGGGCCTCGCCGTGCTCAGGCGAAGGGGCTTTTGCTGCCCTGGGAAAGGATTCAAAGGGATGAGATATGCTACCGAAGGGCGTGGTGGTCTCCGTCGACGCGGGGGAGTCTGCTCGCCCGCCACCAGAGACCAACCCTGCCAGGACCGTGGACATCTGCCCGCTCGCCACCGAGGACCTCTCCGACGGTGCGGGAAGGATGCCACGCAAGCCCTACCCCGCCATGGAAGAGGAGCTGAAGGGTCCAAGGGTCTACCGAGATTCGTCTTTCCGATCGAGGACATTTCTTCCCATCCTGGTCGAGAAGCCCTGGGAGGCAGGGATGCTGAGGACCACCGACGAGCTGGTCGAGGGCATGCCGCTCTTCGGGGTCATCCAGAAGTGCTAGCGGGAGGAGGCGGACCCCCTCGGCCCCGTCAGGCGCCAGGTCCGCGCCATCTGGGACTGGTGGCGGGCCAACCTCCGCTGGCAGACGCCCATGCACGGGCCCCTGGGCAGCTCCGCGACCCTGACCAACCTGGACCTCTCCAATCTCGGCGAGGCGGACGTGGTCTACACAGGGGTGGGCGATACCCTCGACAGGTTCGACCGCTTCGAGACGCCGCCCGATGTCTGGCTATACTTTGTCTTGGAGGGGCTGCCCCTCCACGAGTTCTTCGACTACATGAGGACCACCAGGCAGGGCTACGTCATCCCCTATGGCGGGCCCCTCCTGGCGGTGAAGGTCTTGGTCAAGGGCCGACCGCGGCTCCTGCCTCTGGCCTACTCCAGGCCGAAGGCTCTCACGGCGCGTAGGCTCTGGGCGGATACCGGGGATGCGCGCCTGGTCTACGGGGCTCCGACGCACCAGTTGATCGGGCCCGTCGATTTCGAGTCAGGGAGCTGGGCGTACATGGACGACTACGCGGTCGTGGCCTCGTACGCCAGCGCGCGGCAGCCAGTGAGCGAGGTCATGAAGAGGCTGACGGCCCGAGTCAAGTACTACTTGGGGAAGGTCGGGCTCCCCGTCCACCAGGAGAGAGAAGGCGAGGGGATCGAGTCGCGGGGTGCGGTTATTCGATGCCGACCTTACACTGTCTCGGCCAAAATCGATCGCACTTGTGGCCTGACTCTGGCGGCGCTGGGGCTGGCGGTGCGGACATGCTGGACCCCGGAGCCACCGTGAAGCTGTGGGCGTGGGCGGCCATCTCTCAGCGCATGGGCCTCGCCATCCGCGACGGTATCTACCGCGAGATGAGGCGCCCAGAGACCGCCAGGACGCCGTTCTGCCTACCAGACGCGGCGAGGTGGGGGCTGACGGCGATGGCCTACTGCGCCACGTTCAGGCACACGGATCTCGAGGCGCCCTGGCTCTCGCAGGTGTCTATGACGGGTATGACGGACTCCAAGGACAATGGCCACGGGGTTGCAGTCACCGAGGCCTTGCTGGAGGAGATCAGGACGGCCACGGGCTACACCGAGATGAGAGGGTGGACGATCGCCACCGACGTCTGGGTCCCCCACGTTGGGGGGTGTGCCTACGACGTGGACGAGCTCGCCGATGCGTCGGCTACACCTCCGCCGCGGGTCCGTCGGAGGGTCAACCAGGCGCTCTACCTCTTCGCGGGCAGGCGCCGAGAAGGGGATCTGGATGAGGCCATCTACACGCGTGCGGAGTGCGACGGCTACGACATCCAGATCTGGTCCATCGACTCGGTGATCGAGCCGAAGCACGACCGCCCCAACGACGAGCTGGTCAGCGCGATTCTGGGTCAGATGCGCGACGGGCACTTCCACGCAGTGATTGCCCCGCCGCCATGTTCCACCTGGAGTCGATCGTGCTTCCTGAAAGAGAGGCCCAGGCCCCCGCGGACGCGCCTCGAGCCTTGGGGGCGGAGCGACATACTATTCGCCACCTTCGAGCACCTCCGCCTGGACCCTGGGGCGCGCCTCCTGCTCACGGCCATGCAGGCGGTCTGCGAGGTCTGCCGAACTGGTGGCCTGTACTTGACGGATCACCCCGCGGACCCAGAGGAGGACCTGTACACGTCTATCGGGAACCCCCCCGAGAGGGCCTGCCTCGGCGAGGAGGCGGGCGGCCAGATCCATCAGATCGACCAGGGCTGCTACGGAGCTTCGCTGATGGAGTCGACCATGAAGGGCATCTTCGGGGTCTACGACGACGCACTGGACCTCGCCGTGGGCCGTCTCCGCCCGAGAGGCAACCACCGAGGGAGGCATCCAGCGATACCCGAGGGGCGAGTGGAGCGGGGCCGCCCCGACATCTGCACCGCCGCCGCCCAGGCTTTCCAGCCCCCGCGGTGCGCCGCGCGAGGGAGGGCGATCCTCGAGGCGTTGGCCCGCATGACGAAGGAGATAAAGGGCCCCGATCCAGCGTGCTCGTGGGCCTCTCCAGCTACGACGCCATTCGGGCCGCCGAGGCCGGGAGGGGCGGAGATCGAGGTCTTCCCCGCTGTCCCCTGCTTGGATGCCACCTGCGAGATGGCGGCCACTCTACGTCGGAAGGTGGAGGAGCACGGAGCACACGAACACCAGCGAGATGCGGACCGTGGTGGGCGTGCTCCGACACCTTGCCAGATCGCCACGGAGGCGGATGCTGGAGGTCCTGAGCTTCACCAACGGCATGGTGGCCCAGGGAGCCCCAGGCGAGGGCCATTAGAGCTCATCAGCCCTGTTGCGTCTGGGCCACGGGCACTACCGCTACGTCCCGATGGAGCTGAACGTCGCCGAAGGCCTCTCTCCAGGATATCCCCTGGGAACAGCGCCCGAGACGGTGGCAGCCCACTGCGACCGACACCCCGATCCGACGGACAGCCGACCTCACAATCTACGCGACCTGGACCACACGGGTACGGGATACGATGGTGGCTAGCTGCCCTGGCATTGGAGGCAATCCACCCCGTCGGAGCGATTCGCCAGAAGCCGCACACGGCAGGAGAATTCCCTGCAGAGGCGGGGGCCGCAGGCGTGGGACAACTACGAGAAGGAGACGTACCTGGGCATCCGCGAGGGCGGCTCCACAAGGCGATTCACCCGCCTCGTGCCGGACGTGATGTACAGTGGGCCCCGAAGGTGCGGGATATTCTCAGCTGCCGCGTCGACAAGGGTTGGGAGCTTCGGTGCAAGAGCGCCATGGGCCACGCCCTGGCCGACTACAGGGACATGAAGTGCTACCGAGACCGACTCCACCCAACAAGGGGGTCGATCATCTTGTCAGGGCGACTGGGGAGTTGGCCTGAGCTGAGGAGCCAGCTCCCCTTGGCCTTGCGAAGCTTAAAGAATTGTCAGAGGTTGGTCGTCCCTGTGGAGGGAGGCCCGTGGCCGGAGGAGGCCGTCTTCGCCATCGCCGATTACGTTCTGGAGGGGGGGCTCCTGGACGAAGCCATCGGGACCCTCATGCAGTACGACGCCTACGGGCAGGAGCGGGACGGCCTGGAGGCCGAGACTTCCCGAGCTGGGGGGGCCCCGCACCAACTACAGCAAGCAGCAGAGGCAGCTGGTCGACAGCAACAAGACGAACTTGAAGATGAAGAAGGTGAAAGAGGTCGCCACGGAGCTCGTGACAACTGGATGGTGGAGAGAGTACAGCGACAGGCCAAGCGGGGGCGCCCGAGTGGGTGGCTAGGGGCGCCATACGAGGGCTCCCTAGAGGTGTGTGGCCTACGGGCGCGACCACCACCCCGATGTGTTCTTGGCCGATCGCATGATGAGAACGTTGTGTTCCCCGCCCGCCCACCCTGGAATACAATCTGAAGTATTTCGGCTACGCCAGGCACATCAGATGCGGGAGTGGGAATGAGAATATTCTGAAGCCGATCGCAAGTCGAGTTTTTGATGATTGTTGTGATTTGGTTGAGGTTATACACATCTCAATCGGCCTCCCGATGAATTACATATATCTTTGGCCCGTCGGGGCCCTCGTGCAGCGTGTGGTTGAAAACGTACTTCCTATAGGCCGCTTCGCGGCGTTGCTGCACGTCCCGCTGACTGAGACCGAGTTGTCATAGTCAGCTTTGCTGGCCCCCCGCCTGCCCCCTGAGACGTTGCGATAATGATCGTTTTCCAAACTTAATTGATCGCGTCTCGGGGTGGTGTGGTAGGGGTGTGCCGTGTAAGATAGCAGTGCAGGTCTTATTCCTCCTCCTGCCCTGCCTGTCTTTCGTGTCCGCTCAAGCTTTCCCCCCCTTTGAACGTTTTACCCAGCCCTGCTCTCACGACACGTGGGAATGAGAATATTCTGAAGCCGATCGCAACTCGAGTTTTTGATGATTGTTGTGATTCGGTTGAGGTTATACACATCTCAATCGGCCTCCCGATTAATTACATTATATCTTTGGCCCGTCGGGGCCCTCGTGCAGCGTGTGGTTGAAAACGTACTTCCTATAGGCCGCTTCGCGGCGTTGCTGCACGTCCCGCTGACTGAGACCGAGTTGTCATAGTCAGCTTTGCTGGCCCCCCGCCTGCCCCCTGAGACGTTGCGATAACATTTCTTTTCTGGCGAGTTCCTGGTCTATGAGTGCCTGATTGTAACGATTCTCGAGTGGGTCTGAATGTATGTGAGTCTGGCCATGAGTGAGCTTGCCCTGGCGGCTTCTCTGTCGGATGCTCAAGCGCCGTGCCTGCTATATCGCGGTGGCCATTGAGCCTTGGAGTGAGACCCGTCTCCTTGGCTGGCCAAGCAGCAATTTTACCCGAGAGGTCCCCACTACCTGGGCGCGAACGGGCCAGTGCCAAAGCCAGCGGCGGCTACTCCCTGGGAGGCCCAAGTTCAAAGCCTGCTACAGAGCGATGGCTGATGGGGTTCCAGGGAGACACGTCCACCCTCTGAAAGCGGCCGTTCTACTCGAGTCGTCCCCGCATTCTGGTCGCGAACGGGCCATTGTCGTACCCCCTAGCGGCTCCCCCCTGGGAGGTCCAAGTGTCATGCTGGCTACTTCGCGATGAACATCTGTGCTATGTCTAAAAAGTGCGACTGTGTGTGAGTGATTCTGGCTGAATCAGAGGCATACTTAGTCTGAGCTTTTGCGATCACAAGCTATGAATGAGAATGTGTGAGGTGGGACTACTGAGTATGGTTGGTCTGAGTGGAAGTGAGTCTGAGAAGCTCTGGGTATGGCGAGGAGGCAGAGTGAGGGTCAGGCGGAGGCGTGTCACCAATCACAAGACTCCATGCTTCAGCTATTGGAGGTAATCTCTCTGATCAACAACGTGGATCATCCACGTCGAAAAGCCGTCAGACGCCAGATCGTATTCCGGGAATTCGGGCCCTGCTGGACGTCGTATGCGTATCGTTTGTCCTCGACTGGTCATTGCTTGACGGCCCACGCCTCAAGGGCGTTCTCCGCCAGATGCCACTCTGAACGGACAAGAACAGCAAACACCATAAACTCACTCAGGGGGGAAACGTGATGTAAAACAATGTGGTCTATGCTTACACGCGTTTGCTTCGAAAGGGAAGGCTGCAGCCTCATGGATAGTTCGTTGGGGCCCTCTTGGATCGTCTTAGGGGGCATCTTGGGACCCTCTCGGGCCCGGTGGGGACCCTCAAGGAAGCTCCCTAAGATGGCGTCTCCAGGAATCTATTTCATACAATGCAATGCTTTCAAAGTCCAAGAGAGGGCCTGAACGCAACTCCTCGGGGACGTGTTGTCGAACGATGTTGTATCCTCTCGCTGCTTAAGGCCCGTTTGGCACCTGTTGGGGCCTTACCAGGCCGTCTTGACGACATCTTGGGGCCCTCTTGGACTCTCAGGGGCCGCCACGTGGGGATCTTGAGATCCCTTGGCGTTCTCGCAAAACTATCTTTTGTATACGTGACTGTGGGCCTGGCATACATGTCAATGATGCATTCATGTTGCAGGGGCCTTGTGATGATCCAAATTCCACTATGCAAGTAGCGAGCCTGCCACTAGGGCGAGAACGATACCACAATAGCGAAGATATGTCAGCTGCTCCTTCAAAACCACCCTCATGAGCAAGGTGGTGATGCCTCCGTACATGCCTGAAATCACGCAGACTGGGTCATCATCAGTTGGTGGGGCTGCTTTGACGGCCATGAGGAACGTGACGCTGCCACAGGCCATGCCTAAGCCCATGGCAACCGCGCTGAGGACGCCCCTTCTGTCGACATAGGCGCTTCTCTCGGTCTCGGGGCTCCACTTCTGGCTATCCACGCCGAGGAGCTGCTGGCAAGCAGGATGCGTGTCCTGGCTTGGAGTCAGAATGTGATCAGAATGACTGTCCCGATTTGACGTCAGAGAGGGCCGGTGGATGACGCAAACTGCAGAGCAACCAATCGCACTCCAAATCAACCTCGTGCCCTGCACTGTCGATGTTAAGGGCAACGGTGTCGGCAAGAGGACACAAAGTTCCGTGGCAAACATCCACACGGCATAACCAAGCAATGCGAACATGCAAAGCCCCATCCAGCGGAAGCGGCTGCTTCTGGTGCTGCGCGATCGCCCAGCGGGCGTGTCACTCCCCTCGTCACTCGATTGCATGAAACACAGCAAGGACGCCAGCGCCGCGGCGACGCCGCCAGCCTGTTTGAGCGTGGGAACGCGAGACAACACAAGCCAATTCAACCCGACAATGACCATAGGGTACATCGATGCGATCGTCACTACTACACCGACTGGGCCCCCTGCGGCAATGGCATCCACCATCCACATGACGCCCTGCGCGTATCCAGCACCACCCAGAATCAGGAGCCCGGCTTGATCTCTGGGCAACTGCAGGCCCACAAAAGGAACGCCGAAGGCAGCGCACACAGCGATTGCAATACAGTGCCAAGCAAAGGTAGTCTTTCTTGCCAAACGCTGCTCGGCCAGAGCTGAGAAAAATCCCCAGAGGCCCCAGAGCAGCAAGGTCGCAAATGTGTAGATAGTCCAGGACGCCAGCGCCATTGATTGAGCAACAAGATACCTCGGCTCTGAAACCTAATTGATGAGGGATGCGGCCGTTGACCCTTGAGCCGGATACTTGGGCAAATGGCTACGTGCGACTCCTGGTGGTTCGACGTCAGCCCCGTCTAGCCCCGCTGACCCGTAGCGTTGAGACTCCTGCTGATCCGCTGCTAGCCACGACTAGCTAGCCCCGCTGCCCGCTGCTACTGGTCCTGGCTGGCCACGCAGCCCTTGCACGCTGAGATTCCCACTTGTAAACCGCCACCGCCTCTTTCTCGCTCCTCGGCTTCTCGCTCTCTGGCCCGTTTCTGCTCCTCGCCTGGCCCGCTTTTCTTTGTCGCCCCGCCCAGTTGTCCGAATAATCGTTGCCCGCACTGCCACGCTGGCGAATATCGTCTGTGTGGGTAGCATCTGATCCGATCGCTATGCTGCGCGGATGCCTTCAGCCGTCTTGTGATGTTCCAGTGCTTGGTTATGGCCGTCAAGCCCCTGTTTGCGGCAATCGTGAGATTGTCCACCGCTGGCCTAGAGGCCTCCTAGATGGGGTCCGAGTAGATGGGGTCGGAGGATCGCGCCGCATCGCCGATACATCGCCGATGCATCGGCGATGCACCGTCAACGTCGGCAATGCATCGGCGACGCCGACGTGAAGCAAATCGGGCCCGGCATCGAGCCGCGACGTCGATGCATCATCGATGCGGCGCGATCCCCCGACCCCATCTACTCGGACCTCCGCTGGGAGGCCTAGATTGCGGCAGTCGTGGGATTGTCCACCGCTGGCCTGCCTCGAGAAACCAGCAGGCCCCCCTGTGGGGAGGCGAGCGGGCCGATGCCGCCGCCACGGGATGGCCACCGCGCCTGGCGGCCTCCCGCCAGCCGCGCCTCTGCCGCCGCCGCGAAGGTCGAGGTCGAGGTCGAGATCGAGGTTGCCGCGGAGGTCGAGGTCGAGGTCTATTCGTCGTCTCCGTCGTCGTCGGTGGCGTCGCCCCCACTGCAGCGGGCGTTCCGTCGAACGCGGCTCCAACCTGCCTGGGCGCACGAAGAAGCCACTCAATTTCCTCCATTTCCTCCTCCTCTTCCTCCTCCTCTTCCTCCTCCTCCTCCTCCTCCTCTTCCCCCCATATCTCCTTCTGAGCCGGCGCTCTCGCCGAGGCTCCAAGTTTCCGGAGAAACTCCGCCTGCTCGACAAGTCGAACCACCGCGCATGCCCAATCGAAGAACACATGATTTCGTTTCTCACAAGGCCACGCGCACTCATCAGAAACCCATCCAACTGTCCTGCCGATAAGCGGTATAAAAGGGGCTGTCACCTTCTTTTGAATCCACTTGAACAGTGACCACGTGTTCAGGAACATGAAGCCGATGTACAGTGAGCTCCATAAGCTGAGCTGAAACCTGGCTCAGGCCGAGCAGCACTCGACAGCAACGAAGCCAGAGAGGGGCAGCGCACGCTCAATGATACGTGGCGCATTACGAGTGTAGGAGCGCCGCGATCACTTCACGCGCACTCACGGCTCTAGACAATCCGGGCGAAGGGGACATAGCGGGGAAAGATGGATCGTGCCATGAGAACCGAGAACCCCACGCCGCAAGGTAATTACGTCTCAAGGCCATCCTGGGGCCTTTGTGTACGTTCTACGGCCTCTCCCAGGGACGCCATGGGCCGCTTCAGCCGAATAGTTAGGTCCCACAATTCGTCGAACAAACTGTAAACTTCAGAGAATGGTTTACCTTTAACGGCCCAACAGTACTCTTGTCGCTGACTTGTGATGTCTGTCCAGACATAGTGTAGAAGAGGGATCGTATCCAGGATGAGGACGAGACACATGCAGGAATAAGAGTCATGAGCATGCGGGAGGAAGAAAGAGGAAGGATGAGGTAGACAGGGCGAGGAGGAGAATGATGATGAGCAGGAATAATCGTACCGAAGACGAGTCGCTGAAACCTGCATCTCCGAGGAGCCTACGTGACAAATCATTATGAGCTTGACTTGAAGCCTTCTTGGACGTTGGGAGCCCTTCAAGGCCGCCTTAGGGGTCTCATGGGGTCGTCCTGGAGCCCTCTTGGCACCATCTCTGGCTGGTTTGAGCCCTTCCCGGCCGGCCTTCGTGCCAGCCGGGGGCACTTGTGAGTCTCTCTGCGGCCCTCTGGGCCGACTGAAGCCCCTCTTGGGGTGCTCCAGGGCCGTCTGGGAGGCCATCGTGGGCGTCTTGGAGGCCTCTTGGGCCGTCTTGGGGCTCCTTGGGGCCGTCTTGGGAGCCTCTTGGACCAGTCTGGGGTCATCTTGGAAGGCTCTTGGGTGATCCCAGGGTGATCTTTGGAAGCTCTTGGCCGTCTCGGGTCGTCGGAAGGCCGAAAAAAAAACATGCCAAAATCCGGCAAACACCGAAGGACAATGCATGAGTTTGGCCTCTTCGGGCCTTCCTGGAGGCCCTCTTGGAGGCCCCTTGGGCCATCTAGAAGACCAGTTTGGAGCCTCTTGGACTGTCTTGAGCCATCTTGGGCCGTCTTGGTGGGCTCTTGGCCCTTCTGACGCCGTCGGGGGCCTTCCTGGAGGCCTCTCTCGGCCGACTTGGGGCCCTCTTGCGGTGCTCCAGGGTCGTCTTGGAGGCCATCTTGGGCATCTTGGAGGCCTCTTGGGCCGTCTGGGGTCTCCTTGGGGCCGTCTTGCGGACCTCTTGGACCGTTCTGGGGCCATCTTGGAAGCCTATTGGGCGATCTTGCGGCAATCCTTGATGGGCTCTAGTGCCAGCTCGGGCCGTCGGAGGGCCGAAAAGAAGCACATGCAAACATCCTTCAACCACCACTGGCACATCAGTGAGAAACGCTTTTGGAGGACCCTGGGCCCGTCTAGGAGACCAGTTGGGGGGCCTCTTGGGCTGTCGTGGGCCATCTTCGAGCCATCCTGGGCCGTCTTGGTGGGCTCCTGGCCCTTCTGCGCCGTCGGAAGCCGTCCTGGAAGCTTCTCTGGGCCGACTTGGGGCCCTCTTGGAGTCCATCTTGGACCATCTTGGGGCCCTTTTGGGGCAGTCTTAGGGGCCTCTTGGGCCGTTCTGCGGCCATCTTGGATGCATCTTGGGCGACCTTCGGGGGCTCTTGGGCCGTTTAAACAATACATTGTGGCCTCTATTCTTCCTGGAGGCCCTCTTGGAAGCCTCTTGGGCCGTCTTGGCGACCTCTTGGGGGCCTTTTGGGCCGTCTTGGGCCATCTTGAGGCCATCTTGGGCCGCCCTGGAGGCTTCTTGGGCGGACTTGGAGGCCATCTTGGGCCATCTGGGCCCTCTTGGAGGCTATATTGAGCCATCTTGGAGAATGTGCTCCGGACGTTTTGCTCGCTTGGGCGCCTTCTGGGTGGCAGGCGAGATCGGCCGAAGCCCCAGGGGTAGTTCTTTTGGAAAAGAACCATGACCAGAAAGGGTAGGATCTAGCACGCCAGGCACCCCTTTGGCAAGCCAACGAGGGGCGACGGATCGAAGACGCCTACGGCGAATCACCGCCGCCCCCTGCCTTTTTGGAAACGCCGATGTGGCCGAAAGTTGGACTAGAGCTTGGCCAAGCTATCGGACCATGAGTTCCCCGAGTCGGTTTGGAAAGCTTTCGGGGAACACATGGGAGAGAATGATTATGAACAGGAAGAGGAAGAGGAAGAAATAGAGTAGGAGGATGAGGGTTGTTAGGAGTCTCTTGGGGCACCCTTGGGGTCTGTTGGGAGCTTCTTGGGGGCCTCTTCGAGGCCTCTTGGAGGCATCTTGGGGGCCTCCTTGGGCCTCTTGGGGGCCTTTGGGGGCTTCCTGGGGGTCTCTTTGGCCGTCTTAGGGCGTTCCTGGTCCGTCTGACGCCGTCTGGAGCCGTCTTGGGGGCCTCTCTGGGCCGTCTTGGGGCCCTCTTGGGGCGCTTCAGGGCCGTCTTGGAGGCCATGTTGGGCGTCTTGGAGGCCTCTTGGGCCGTCTTGGGGCGCTCTTGGGGCCGTCTTGGGGGGCCCTTGGGCCGTCATAGGGCCTTCTTGGAGGCCTCTTGGGCGATCTTGGGGGCCTCTTGGGCCGTCGGAAGGCCGAAAAGAAGAAAACGCAAAAAACCTTCAAAAACCTAAGGAAAACCAATGATTTTGGCCTCTTCGGGCTCTCCTGGAGAACGTCTTGGAGGCCTCTTGGGCCATCTTGGAGGCATCTTGGGGCCATCTTGGCCGTCTTGGAGGGCATCTTGGGCCGTCTTGGAGGCATCTTGGAGCAATCTTACCCGTCTTGGAGGCCATCTTGGCCGTCTTGGAGGCATCTTGGAGGCCATCTTGGGCTCATCTTGGCGCGTCTTGAAGATCAAGTCTTGGTGCGCAAGTTGGGGCAACAAAGCGCATGACAGTATGGATTTGGAAACTTTACGGGTGGCGGCGGGGGACGGGCGAAGACACTGGGAGTCATCTTTAGAAAACGAAACAAAACCTCAAACCTGAAACGCCAGCACGCCGTCGCCCCCTGTGGCTAGACACAGGGGGGGCGTATATCGAAGACGCCTACGGCGAATCACCGCCGCCCCTGCCTTTTTGGAAACGCCGATGTGGCCGAAAGTTGGACTAGAGCTTGGCCAAGCTATCGGACCATGAGTTCCCCGAGTCGGTTTGGAAAGCTTTCGGGGAACACATGGGAGAGAATGATTATGAACAGGAAGAGGAAGAGGAAGAAATAGAGTAGGAGGATGAGGGTTGTTAGAAGTCTCTTGGGGCACCCTTGGGGTCTGTTGGGGGCTTCTTGGGGGCCTCTTCGAGGCCTCTTGGAGGCATCTTGGGGGCCTCCTTGGGCCTCTTGGGGGCCTTTGGGGGCTTCCTGGGGGTCTCTTTGGCCGTCTTAGGGCGTTCCTGTCCGTCTGACGCCGTCTGGAGCCGTCTTGGGGGCCTCTCTGGGCCGTCTTGGGGCCCTCTTGGGGCGCTTCAGGGCCGTCTTGGAGGCCATGTTGGGCGTCTTGGAGGCCTCTTGGGCCGTCTTGGGGCGCTCTTGGGGCCGTCTTGGGGGCCCTTGGGCCGTCATAGGGCCTTCTTGGAGGCCTCTTGGGCGATCTTGGGGGCCTCTTGGGCCGTCGGAAGGCCGAAAAGAAGAAAACGCAAAAAACCTTCAAAAACCTAAGGAAAACCAATGCTTTTGGCCTCTTCGGGCTCTCCTGGAGAACGTCTTGGAGGCCTCTTGGGCCATCTTGGAGGCATCTTGGGGCCATCTTGGCCGTCTTGGAGGGCATCTTGGGCCGTCTTGGAGGCATCTTGGAGCCATCTTACCCGTCTTGGAGGCCATCTTGGCCGTCTGGGAGGCATCTGGGAGGCCATCTTGGGCCATCTTGGCCGTCTTGGAGGCCATCTTGGGCCGTCTGGTCCGCCGCACTGACTTGCAGGGGTGCACGGCGTGCTGGATGTTTAGGTTTTGGTTTTGGTTTTTTTCTACAAGAACTCCCCAGTGGGCTTCGGCCCGTCCCGCCGGCCACCCGCAAGTTTCCGAAAATCCGTCTGTCAATGCCTTTGTTGCCCCAACTTGGCCCAAGATGGCCTCCAAGACGGCCAAGATGGCCCAAGATGGCCTCCAAGATGCCTCCCAGACGGCCAAGATGGCCTCCAAGACGGGTAAGATGGCTCCAAGATGCCTCCAAGACGGCCCAAGATGCCCTCCAAGACGGCCAAGATGCCCCAAGATGCCTCTTGTGGCCGTCGAAGGCGAAAAGAAGAAAAACGCAAAAACCTTGCAAAACTAAGGAAAAACAATGATTTTTGGCCTTCTTCGGGCTCTCCTGGAGAACGTCTTGGAGGCCTCTTGGGCCATCTTGGAGGCATCTTGGGGCCATCTTGGCCGTCTTGGAGGGCATCTTGGGCCGTCTTGGAAGCATCTTGGAGCCATCTTACCCGTCTTGGAGGCCATCTTGGCCGTCTGGAGGCCGAAAAGAAGAAAACGCAAAAAACCTTCAAACACCTAAGGAAAACCAATGCTTTTGGCCTCTTCGGGCTCTCCTGGAGAACGTCTTGGAGGCCTCTTGGGCCATCTTGGAGGCATCTTGGGGCCATCTTGGCCGTCTTGGAGGGCATCTTGGGCCGTCTTGGAGGCATCTTGGAGCCATCTTACCCGTCTTGGAGGCCATATTGGCCGTCTTGGAGGCATCTTGGAGGCCATCTTGGGCCATCTTGGCCGTCTTGGAGGCCATCTTGGAGCCGTCTGGTCCGCCGCCCCCTGCTTGCAGGGGTGCCTGGCGTGCTGGATGTTTCAGGTTTTGGTTTTGGTTCTTTTTCTACAAGAACTCCCCAGTGGGCTTCGGCCCGTCCCGCCGGCCATCCTTCCAGGACCTCAATTCCCCAATTTCCTGCCCCAGACGGCTCCAAGATGGCCTCCAAGACGGCCAAGATGGCCCAAGATGGCCTCCAAGATGCC